ATATTTTTGTTCCATATGAAAATATAGATGCAAGAAGAGATATCACAAATAGCTGACACAAATCAGTGCAAGAAGAAACAACAGGAGCAGTAGGCATTCAGCGTAAGTGTCTGTCCCATTGGAAAGAAATAGGCACAATTCAGGTCTAGTAGTCTCAGAGAATTGCAGGCCCAGATTTGTCAGTGATACAGAAAACCAAAAACCCAAACATAGAAGTGTTGCTGGGACCCGACAACACATATTTGCTAACTCCTGGTTTGCACATCATCCTTTAGATCCTTAAGGAAGTGTAATAGTTATATTTTAAGTAATTTGCCCCAGAGGAATAGTGGAGAATCTTGGCCTGTGTGACATGGTCTTACACTGTTGAATTTCAGCCATGTAGCTCAGTTTCTGGATGCGCCCTGAAAATTGCTGCCCAGGGTCTTTGTGTCTTCCTCTCTTTGTTGTCAGATTAGTGGTTTCCCACCAAGGTCTACATCATAATTCTTATAATCTATGAATATATTATGCTCAATGTAAAAAAAAAGGAGATTTAAAGTAGCAGATGGAATGAAGGTTGCTAATTATAATCTCAAGATAGATATATATTATGCTGGATTATCAAGACCAAAAGTAATCAAAGAATCTTTAAAAGTGGAAAAGAGACAAATTAGAATAATCAGAAGTAAGAAAGAGGCAACTAGCCATTGCTTTCTTGGAGGATGAAAGAGGGTTATGATCCAGAGTTCAGGAAGCCTTTAGAATGTAGAAAATGCAAGAAAATAGATTCTCTTCTGAAGTTCCAGAAAGAAGTGCACCACTGTCAGCACCATGATTGTTGACTGGTGAAACCCATTTCAGACTCATGACAAACAGAATTCTAAGATAATTGACTTGTGTTGTTTTAGAGTATTTATGTTTTCAGTAATTTTTATAGCAAAGAGAGGAAATGCATTTTTGATGTAATAGAAATCTTCTTGTTAACTCATCTTTAATATTAATCTTCTCATGCTTTCCTCTTGTTAGTATTACTGAAAACTGACATATCTAATTGAATATTCCCTTTAACCTATACATGTCCTAAAATATCTTGGATAGTTTGAAGTCTGATTTTACTTAGATATCTGACATTTACCATTTACCTACTGTGAACTTTGATTACATAATTTATAAAATGCTGACTTCATTGCCTTGAAA